TTAATTATTTCGGTTACGGTACATATTTTAACGAAATCCCGAAACATGTCAAATTTAATTTATTCACTCTTAATTGTTGCGTTGTTGCGAATAGAAAATGAAGAGACCTTTCAAACGAAATATAACAAACCTCTACTTCCCATTTAAAAAATTGGGGGTTGTAGCTGTCATTCGGAGAGGGTTGAAGTTAGCGGTGGCATTACGTTAAAAAATGTTTCGGGATCTATTAGAATATAATCAATAATGACGACTAACCGAAAGACAATCATTCCTTTCAATATGATCAAGTCTTTAACTCTCTTCAAATACCCTCAAGGGTCATCACTAGAATGAAAAATTAATAATTGATGAAACGAAGATATAGTGTGTTCATACATATACGTTGAGTAACCATAACAACGAATTCAGTCACTACCCAGTTTCAAATCCATTATTAAAACAGAGACTACACAGCCAACGAATTTGTCAGACAAGATGATATCATCAATGAGAGGAACAAATACTAGAAAACTGATAATATTTTGCAGAAATTTGGGAATCATTGCTGGACTTTATTCGAAAAACCATCCTCGACTAGCAGTGCTATTCAGTCTGTACGGTTATTTCGTTCAAGTGTTGTTAGCGTACTTATATATATCTTATTTATTAAATGTTTCTAATTCAGAAAATGCAGTTATTGAAAAATTGCCACTTTATTGTATGAAGGTGGCCCTCAATTTATTCTACACAATGGTTGGAATTTCAGGAGTGAGGACAACTGGACCATATTGGATGAGACTCACTGAATATTCAAGAAACTTTGAGGCACATATGAAACAGAGAATATATTTTGAAGACATCAAACTGCGGAATCATATTCTACTCACAGCCATTTGTTACGCATCCGTTTCATCAATATATATCTGTGCATTTATTTTAATGACATCATCAATATCATTCTATTTCCAAGTTTTCTGTAAGTTTTGCCAAATGTTCATATTTTCTCTGACCATTTATGAGATATGCGGCGCTTTGAAGAGATATTACAATTATCTGACAACCATTGTTGACGCCACTTTAGATGATCGTTTCGGGATAGGTGATATCAGAATAAAAGTTAGAGAAATCAAGTTGATGTATCTGATATTATACAAAACTGTGGATCAACTCAATTCCATTATGGGAAAATATATGGCATGGATTTTTCTGAATGCTTTCTTGAATACCTTGATGCTGTGGGATGAACCGATGATAAAACATTTAGGTTCTTTTCTCTCCTTCCTGAGAATTCTACATTCAATAGTTGGTTGGGTGAGTATAATATGTTTCATTTCTAACACGTCATCTAACTTTCTCATGCATACTGTTACGAACTTACAATTTCAACAACATTACGTTAAAATGATGATAGATTCAAACGAACAAAGAGGTAGGTACGTACACCTATTCAAATGCAGAGACTTCACCGAATTTCAAAAACTACATTGGATAAAATTGACATTTCAATCGCTCAGAGTCGCTTATTGCGCTATCGAAGTAAGAAGAAGTAATATACATTCAATAATAATAAAAACTGAAGGATCTACTATACAGGGTGTAACATAAGTTCGTTAAAATATTCAAGTGACGTATTCCTGAGACAATTTTAAGATAAAAAGTCTATATGAACTTGTGTCCGAAAATGCTTCTTTTCGGAGATACGGGGTGTTGAAATAGAATTTTTTTGTTCGCTTTCTGAAAATAACTCTTGAAAAACATAAGTTATTTGCACGAAATTCGGTATCCGGGGTTTTTTTTACGTAGGAAATCGTAATTTCGTATTAATTTTCATGTAACTTCTAGAGGGCGCTGCGTACGCTGTCATTATTTATTTCAAATTGCCCTAACTTTTTTGACAGTAAACTTTTGGTCCTTTTCCGAGTAAAAAAGGTACACCACCTCAAGAACGCTCAAGGTGATCGTTTTCAAGATACTTACAATTTTCTATATTGATGTAAATTACTTCATAGCCAAATTTGATTTCAATAATTTTTCTTACTCTCCGCTTGCAAATTAGCTATCAGCCTGTATACTGTAAGTTAAAGAAGTCCTATGAAGAATGTGTTGAATAAAGCTAATGAAATAAAGCAATCAAATATAAAATCAATATTTATTTTCAACCTCAAGTGAAAGCAATATTTATTTTTAAATTTTGGTTAAATTAACATTCATTTTTGAACTGGAAATCCACTTTTTTTAAACCTCGATCAAATCCACCTTTCTTCTCAAAACTGATATTGACATTTATTTTTTTATTGAATCAACATTCACTTTCAAACTTGAAATCAGCTTTTTTTCAAACCTCAATCAAATCCACATTTCTTGTCAGAACTGATATTGACATTTATTTTTTCATTGAATCAACATTAATTTTTAAACTTAAAATCAATATTTTTTTCAACCTCAATCAATTCAACATTTCTTCACAAAACTGATATTGACATTAACTTTTTGATTGAATCAACATTCATTTTTCACTTACTACTCAATTCAAGTAGTATTCGTTTATTCGGTGAAACCACTATCCGGAGCATCTTGAAAAAAATATCAATTATAACGTAAAAGTTGAAAGAAATGCAAATTATTCAGAATTACATAATTATCAATAATTTATCAGGCATACTGGGTGACCTCGAATAGTTGAACACTGTACGAGCGCTACCTTCTACCTCGAGAATGACTCAAGATACAAAAAATCTACGAACAAATGTTGTAGAGAATTTGATATTCTTTAATATTCGTGATAGAAAGAAATAGCATGAGAGACACACATAGGAAACGAGATATTTGCAATAAATATGTAAAAATCGATTTTTCGACCTTTGACCTTGGAATATCTGTAGTCGCGGACACCCTACGACGAGGTGGTTTTGAGACCGATTTTGAAGTAAGATTTATATAACTCTAGAGCTGGCTATCTCTCATTCCGAGGTGAACCCCCTGATAATCCTGGTCTATAATGGAAAATCTGGCCCCACACATTGGCGGCCACAAATTCTTATACCATTTCCTTATTCGTGTTCCGATTTAAAGCGTATTCAGCCAAGTTAGCGTATCTCTACTAACTTGGCTGAATACATTGTTGGACAGCATGTATGCAGCTTCTTTGAATTTTCTCCTAAATTAATTTTCCTCCCTGTTTATGATCTCAGCTTGGGACCACTCGATTTTATGTTAATGATATGGTACGCTATTCCTGATTTGCTAGTTTTCCCTCGCTGTGTGTGTTTCTTGTGCTCGGCATTTTGATGGCCTCTTAGTTCTACCGATATAGGATTTCCGGTACTCACACAGTATCCGTTAAATGAAATTCTTGGAATCACAGTCAGCCTTTGGTGACCTTGTTTTCGTGAGGCTGCTACGGATAATGTTTCCGGATATGAAGCAGTTTCTGATGTTGTATTCGGACCCAATTATTTTTATCCTTTTCGATAATTCTCTAATGTAGAGAAGTGCAAGCACTGGTTGTGACGGCTTGTCTTCCTTGCGAGGCTCCTGCTGTCTTTAAGCCAAGGTCTGTTCCACCATCGCTTTGAAGTAGCCTTTCCGTTGAAGATCATTTTTGATGATGTCTAGTTCCTTCTTGAGACATTCCTTCGTATTACAGAGCCCGAAAGCATAGTCTCATAGAGTCTTGATGATTTCTCTTTTAGTCAATTGATGGTGGTTGGATTCGTGGTTCAGTGGGTGTGTGTTTTCGGTATACAGATGTTTCCCACTCAGTGTCTGTCCTGTTCACCAATACGTCTAAGAATTGCCATTCTCGGCAATTCTTGGTCTTACGCTGTTGATGGGTTTCAGGAAGACGTCTAGTTCAGTATTACTATGGTTTCATTTCATGAAGGTATCGTCCACGTATCTCCACCAGACTCGGGGTTTCTTTTATTATTTTTTTTTGTTTCATATCACGGTTATTTCATTTTCGGTTTTTTTAGTTAATATCATTTTCATTTCCAGCAGAAAAAATCTTTTCACGAATAAATTAATTTTGTTGTAAAAAAACGGAGGATGCTTCAACTTATATTTTTATTATGGTTTCAATCTGACAAACAGCTCCTAACCAAGTATTCATAACAATGGATATTCAGCCCCCTACGCTTCTCTACAACAAAATTAATTTTTCTGTAAATAGATTCAATCTGATTTCAGACCTATTACAAGTCGTTAGTTACATCAAACTATAGAACTTATTATCGATGCTGAATAAAATTTTAAATTAGTTTGTGTTGCTATTGAAGTGTATTTTTTAAATTATTATTTATTTTCCACTTGCTATTTCAAGTCCATTTATTTTGATTTTTCAAGCTATAATATATATTGTTTTCATCTGTCAGTCTCAATACGAAATCATTCATTGTATAGCAATGGAGAAACACATTTTTTAGTACATCACTTGACAATGTACTCAAAGTTGTTTTGATTTGTGTATATTAAGGTGAAATCGCGAATGATTCATTAAATTATTTATGGTTCCTCAGGTCTTATCCACGTTAACTTAGATAATTGTGGTAATTCTGGAGTATTAAGGTAATTCAAATGTCTGCTTCATCAACTGACGATTGTAGATTTTATGTATATCGTAGTTGTAGGTAACGGGTTAAGGGGAATTCCGATTCCGGAGGGGTAGTCTAAGAAAGAAACAAATATTTCTTTCCAGTTTTTGACGGGATTTGAAGTCACTCCTAGAGAGGCCGTTGCTTCGCGTCGGGTCGCCGGGTCCAAAAGAGTCGGTTACAAACAAACATACAAGTGATGTTTATGAAAGCGTGTTAATGACGAAATGGAAAATTTCATTAGTTTGGACATTCATTGTCTAATATGATATGAAATGATTTGAATTCCCTGAATGAATCAATAAAATTAAAATTAATAGCTGAAAATAACAATTATATTGAGCAAAAGAACCCCTCAAACCCCAAAAAATTATCTTGTAAATTCACCTCAGACAAAACAGGTAGGTTTGTCAAAAAAAAAGTTGAATATTCAAATAATTTTTTTTTCCACAAATTATTCAATTTTTACACAAATCTTGTTAATAACCAAAAATTACCCATTAATTGGACTTTTCAGTGATATATATTACGCAGTAACTTTCCTCAGATTGTAGTAGGTTAGATACCAAAAAAAGAAAAAAAAACAATGACTTTCTAAAAAAATTTTTACACATTTACAACCACTTAATGAAATAAATTTTTTCAACTGTGATTTTTTAATGAGTTAACAGGAAAAAACATTGAATGCCTTCAAACCAAAAATATACCTCGCCTCTAAAATGTTATACAGTTCTAAGAATCTAGGCAAACATCCCATTCAAAGTCAGAACATATAACTATGAAAATAAGAAAGTAATTTTAAAGCGAATTCATAGATGATATAAATCAAAAACCATTTGAGTGCCGTATTACATCTTCTCATCCTGAAAAAAAAACACATCTTTAATTATTACTAACAATATGACCATATAACAAAAAAATCTATAGCAAAATTCTTCATGTTAGACTATATAGGGTATCCAAATTATTTCGTCACCATTGCCAACTCCATTATTATTGATAGGAATTCGGTTAAATAGGCAAACTAGTAAGTTTGGCCTCCTCGTTCAACAGACATGAAACGTCTAGATTTTTATTTGTGGGGATTTCTGAAAAATGAGGTGTACAAAATAAAACATAATAATGTAGATGAACTGAAAAATTATATTGAAACGCGTAGCTTTAAAAGAAGGGCACAAATATGTGTTTTTGAATATTTACTCGATATTTTATAGCTCTTTATTCGCCAAAACAAAGTCGCTCATTTTTAACATCAGGAAGAAAGATCACATGAGCTTTATCGTTGAGAATGTTATTATGAATGGAAATGCATGATAAAATATAGGTGTTCCTTTTAAAAAAATATCATTTTATGAAATATTTCAAAAACGCATTTGTCAATTTTTTTTTTGTTTTCGGCATCGAGAAGGCTATTAAAAGTAATAATAGTTTGCCCATTCAACCGAATTCGTAGCATCAATAATAACGGAGTTGGCAATGGTGCTGACTTCATTTGAAGCACCCTGTATATTTTCTCACTGAATCCACGAATTTGAATGAAATACTCATCAAACGATTATCGATATTTGCACTTTGAAATTTGTCTTCGATCTAACTGCTGGTTTTCCCCTATAGCAAAATCAGAAAAAAGTTGTTTGTTTGAAAAGCCAAATGTACCTAAAAAAATGTCTCATTTTGAATTCAGAAGTACAACCTGAAAATTTTTAGAGATAGTTATATAGCAGACTGTATATTATTCCGGTTTAAAATTATTGAGTGAATTATTGTAATACAATTAAAAAAAGGATACTTACTAACTGAATCAATAATTGACACCTCATTGTAAAATTATTCGTAGTTGAAATTATTTTTCAGTTTTTACTAATTTTTATCATGTCCTGAAAGTAATCAACTGCTGATTTTAAAAAAGGGGGATGTTAACCAACTCTCTGCTCCAGCAAGTTCTGTTATATCAGTATAAATTTTGTAACAATTCGAAAAGTCAATTTAATGTTCGAAAAGTAAAAATATCGAGAATTACTATATTTCCTTCTTGCTGGAATCAACACATATTTTTGACAGATTCAACTCACCTCACATATCTCCGTCTGGCAGCTTCCAAAGTGTCTTCAGGCTCCCTCAGTAAGTATAACCTGATTCCTCTCAGGTAACTTCTGAAATAAATGAGCCAGTGCACTGTTGTTATGCTGAGAGGAAAGAGTTTCTGATCTGTTCGATTCATTTTCTGCCACAAATTGCGAATATTGTCGTTCGAGAACTTCCAACTCCTTGTGGCGAAGTAAGAGATGGCATCTGAGGATTTTTTTGTGGTTTTATATAGCCGCATCATTCTGGAATTCAATATGTTACTAGTAGTTTTTTTATTAGAAGTCCGGATCTGTGTAAAAATATGTTTGAAGTATGTTTTTCCGTTAACCAGCTGTCGCACCCCTACGAACGACAAACAATCCTCAGAAGTCGAAACGTATGATTCCTAACACGGGTTGGATGATAGCAAGTGAAAATCGATCGTTCAGCCTGCGGCTTGAACAACCGACTCACACATCGAACAGCCTAGCTACCGACATATGGAAACTGAAACAAGTGTACCCTTGAATGGAGGTGGGAAAATATCTCAGTATTCTATTTCGGTAGAGACAAAATCCCTTCATTTCTCGAAAGCAGGAGTGAAGTGAGCTTGGGAAGTGAGATTACAAGATAGATAGTATCCTTCATATCAATGATCCATTCTATTTTTGTTTTCAAAAACAGAAAGATTCATTTTAATTAAGAAATGTAAACGTCAAGCTTCGCGCGACGTCGGAGAATCACAACATCGAAGCAAAAAATTTATCGGCTATTGACTGGTCAGCTCGGGAACTGGGTTATAGGTTCAGAAGGAGACCTATAACCCAGTTCATCGATATGCTGCTATTAATTGAGATTATCTTCAGCTTCAACTTCAGATATCACCTTGCTTGCCAATTATCTTAATGGAAGGAGTCAAAGAGTTACGTTTGATGGAACTTTTTTATCTCTCCTATCTCTTCAACGCGGAGTGCCACAAGGCTCTATACTTGGGCCGATCCTGTTTGGTCTTTACTCCTCCATCTTATCAAAAATTTGAATCACTACAAGGTGCACATTTATGCGTATGACACCCAAACTTATTAGAGTTTCTCCCCTCTAGATGTAAATGATTCTTGCATTATACTTAATGGAGACTTGGATAATTTTTATAGGGGTGCAACAGAACAATGTTTACTCCTAAACTCTCAAAAATTAAATGTTTTATTATTTGGACCAAAGTCCAAACGATCTGAAAAAAACTTGATTAACTTAATACGTCGTGCATGTTCTTCTTTAAAATTGATATAACGGAGTTAGGCAGTATCTTCCATAAGATTTGAAATTAGTATTATTTGATGCACTAGTTTTATCACATGTTAACTATGCTAATACTGTCTATGGACCACATTTGGGTGAGCAGTATGAACGTGAAATTCAAAAAGTACAAAACTCATGCTTTAGACTTATTTATGCAATAAAACGTTGTCAGAGAATTTCTCATAAGCTCAAAGATGCCGCCAACCTATTCCATAAAATTATTCTTACCAGAAAACCTGCTTATCTTCATAAAAAATTTTCTTTTGGAACGGATGTACATAACGTCAATATCAGGTTCAGGGGAACAGTTACTCCACCTTCTTTTAAAACTGAATTTTTCCGCACGTGTTTCAGTTATCAAATATGCCATGTGATGAATGACCTTCCCCTTGAATTACTTACAGCTGGGTTCCAAAAATTGAATTATAATCTATTTAGCCATTTATTCTACACACGTCAGTTATATGATTTCAGAACTTCACATCGTTTTGCTCCTACTTCTGTAAACTTACTTGCCGTAGAGTGGAGAAATTTGTAAATTTTTTCTTTGTTTTTGAATTGTTTAAAGAAAATTCAATAGAGAGGTATTTTTAAGTGTTAAGTGGAAAAACAGTCCAGTTGTTGAATTAATTCAGGAACTGAACTGAACTTCGCCCTTTATTTTCAGAAAAAAAATTCTGTTGATGTAGTTTCTCAATCTTCTTTTCTTTTACATATTTTTTGAGAATAATAAAGACAATTATTATCAGTATTATTATTATTATTAATATATTTCACCGTCGTGTGCGCTGGTCAGGCCCTATACCCTGAAGCCCCGATACGATCAGGAGGGCGCGACAGCATTATCAACCAATGAACACTCCCCACACCGTGGAGTAAGTGATCATTGGGTCCGAGAATCATGTGCCCTGAGCAAAGGCACATGATTCTCGGAATCATTCGTCTCACCAGGAGCTGAAAACACGACAAATATCGTTTTGCTCTGGTGGTCGAGAAGGACTTCATCAGGCTCGTTAGCTTGTATGAGCCTGAGGGTGGGGAACGAATAGTTCCAATAAACTCGGCACTTTTCGTTTTCCACAACGGATTCAATATCCCCGGAGCATAGGGCAACACCGGTGTCCAGTCACTACCGTATCATCATTATTATTATTATTATTATTATTATTATTATTATTATTATTATTTCCATAGTAGTGTGCACTGGTGAGGCCCTATCCCCGAAGCCCCGATACATTCGAGAGGGCGCGCCAGCATTATCAACCAATGACCACTTCCCACACTGTGGAGTAAGTGATCATTGGGTCCGAGAATCCTGTGCCCTGAGCAAACGCAGTGAGCCAAGAATGACAGCCTTCTGCATCTGTGCGGCTAAGATTTCTGCCTTAGTGCGGCTAGCCGGCATAATTTTAAGATTTGAGAGTAGAGAGAACATCATTTCACCAAGGACTCCAATAATCAGAACAACTATCTTGACAGAGTGACCTGGATAGAGTCTGCGGAGTTCGAAGAGAAAATCTCGATATTTTATTCATTTCTCCTCCTCTTTTCTGACAATATACGTCTCGCCAGAAGCTGAAAACTACACGACAAATATCGTTTTGCTCTGGTGATCGAGAAGGACTACATCAGGCTTAAAAGCTTATTAGCTGAGGGTGGGGAACGAATAGTTCCAATAAATTCCGCACTTCTCGTTCCCCACAACGGATTCAATATCCCCCGGAGAGTAGGGCAACACCGGTGTCTCGTCAATACCGTAAGAGTGCCGTAGATGGTAATATATCACTCTTAGGGCCGCGTTATGTCGATGGATATAGGCCGAGACCGCATATGCTGGACATGCTGATAGCAAGTGCATTAGGATCTCGGGCGCCTCGCGGTAGGCCCTGCACCATGTGTCAGGAACCTCTATACCCATCACGCGACTGCGGTAGACTAAGGTGTTGAAGACACCATCCTGGAAAGCCATGATGAACCCCTCAGTTTCCGACTTCAGCCTACTCGACCTGAGAAAAGCAAACGTCAGGTGCTTTGATAAGCCAAGGTCTCCAATGTTATTGAAGAAGACCCCATGTCTCTCCCCGTAAGGTGATCTCTGCGGTTTTTATCTGAGCTTTTTGCTGAACGGATTCCAACTCGGTTACAGAGTTGTGGTCACCTCGTTCAGAGTCGAAAACTAAACCGAGTTCATCAGCTGCTCGGGCAGCTGCCCTGAGGAGAAATGCTCCATTTCCTGCTCTCTCATGGTCACAGACCAAGCAGAGAAGGGGATCCAAACTACTGACGACTTTACAGGCTGTATCCAGTACCATTCTGTCATGTAGACACTTCAAACTCAAAAGTCCCCGGCCTCCCTGTTGTCGGGGGAAGTACAACCGTGGAACGGACGATTTGGGATGCAAACTCCTATAGAGATGCATCACTTTTTGGGTTTTCACGTCGAGTTGATACAGCTCCTCCCGAGACCACTTCACTACTCCAAGCGAGTAGAGTAAGATTGGAACGGCAAGCATATTTGTTGCAGCAACCCGACAGTTCTGATGACCAGATCTGTCGAAGTTTGTGCTGATACTTGCCGCGGAGATTTTTTCGATGGTGTTACCTCCTGTGAGTGGTGTTGTTCCACCCGAGGTGAGTATACGTCTCTCCAGCATCCAGATGGTGTAGGATGCTTCCATCTACGAGCTGCACATTTTCTCCGTAGTCCCCGAATCGTCCTCTTTCGAGATGGACCATTGCACATTTGTCTATCCCGAATTTCATACCGATAGCATGCCTGTACTCTTCCACCACCCTCAAGGACTGATGGAGGTTCTTCTCTCCAGAGGCATAAAGTTTAAGATCATCCATATAAAACAGATAGGTGACCTTGTGCCTCCGGTTTCCGGGGGTGCCACAGTTATACCCTCGAGTATTTCTGAGCGCAACGGATAATGGCAATAGTGAGATGCAGAAGAGAAGGGGACTGAGGGAATCACACTCAAATACACTCTTTCTGAAAGTTCCTGGGTCCAAAATGAAACATGTGACTCCAAACCACATGATGTTCTTTCGAAATGATAAATGTGGATCCAAAATAAGGAACATATGTTCAAAACAAATGATAAGAAACGGTTTAAAAAAACGAGACGTAGTTTCGAAAAACGAGTGAATTACGTTAAAAAACATCAAACAATGAAATAATTGATAGTATCCACGCCTGTCTCGCAGGAGACCGTAGTGTATTCAATTCCCCGTCGTAGAGAAAAGTAATATAATAATTTTGGCAATGAACGAGATAGCCACAACTTTTGTCAAGGAATTTGAACTCGTTTAATATAAAAAAAATTGTTATACCCCAACTAGTTCACTTAAAATAAATGAAAAATATGCAGTATACCTTTTTTCTGGATCACTCTTTCTTTCGAAAATTTTGAGTTTATCGCGTTTATGAAGACACATAGATATAAACGTATTGGACAAATTTTCGAATTATACTAAATCTAAAGGTTATACTCGTGATACTGAACGTGTCAAGGTCTAAAATATTCAAGTGGGTACTAATTAGTGGGAACCTTTGAATTAACTCATCCGAAGTAACATCAAAACTCAAGTTTTCTTTCAAACACTATATTACTCACCTAGGTCTTTTTCCACTCAATATGGTTACGAAGTCTATGAGGAGTCCAGGTAGAGTGTGATAGAAAATTTGTAGAACTTTATTCCAGTAAACATTAGGAGTCATTATGACGAAAGTGTCCCAAAGTGAGTTCGATGATGGAAATGACTTCAAACTGATCATGTTCAGTTCTACGAATTCATTCCACGTTATCGGATTTTCCACTGAAGAAACGTAATTATATACAGGAAGATGATTGGATGTTCTGAAAAATTGAAGGATTCGATAAAATTTATACAACGGAAGTGAGTCGCACGTACTCAGTTAGTGACTCATTGGTGGAAATGTCCCAAGCAGTGGCAATGAGGCCTGCCACGCAGCTATCTACTGGTACAAGGTCGGGGATATTTTCTCTGTCGCAAAATATTACCCTGACTACTCCCAAAAATGCTGCAGCAATCATTCCGCTAGGACCATACAAATTATCTATCCAACCTGCCAGAGGTTCTTTATAGGTGGATATTACTGGAAATAATTTTTACTGGTACTGATTATCGTAAAGAAAGAAGAAGGAATATAGTTGAAGTCAAAGCTCAAAAACAGCATTCTTAATTCAACACCAGAAAGCGCTGTTTCGACCCTTCATAAATATTATCAGTGGTGCTAGGGCTAGACTAAATCACATATGTATTGCTGGACTTGACTATCTTTAGAAGACAAGACTGATAGAGAAAAGGTGACGTCCGCCCTTACCAAATTATCATCTATGAGATCGACAGAAGAATCAATCTAAGAATATGAAAGTTAAACGAGGCTATCCAAGGCTCATGTTGAAACTTGACATGATAATAGATCGCTTTAGATAGTCCCGTATAACATTTTTGGATCTCTTGATCCCATACATCGCATGTTGGAAAGTGGAGACGTTATCGCCTTCACTTGAGGAGAATATGGTTTTTTGATAATTTTCAATTCTCCCATGAGTAGATCTAAATCTTTCAGGAACTGACGAGAGTTGAGAAAAAAAAATGTCCTACCATTTTGGGAGAGGTTTTGGCTTTCCACTACCTGATCTTCATACCAAAAATTGTGGGAATCTTCAGAAGAAACGAAGGAATGTCTTAACAAAGATGTGTATATGCAAGAAGTAACTTTCAGACACAAACTGGAAGAAAAAGCCCTCTCGAAATAAATACTCTTGTATAAACTTCGAATTACACGAGAGGGAAGATACTTTCGAAAGAACTACCTCTATACACCCAAGCTCTTTTTTCTATTCAGTTTGAATTCCAAATCTTCATTATGGAATTGAATCAGATATCATTTAAAGGATTGCTACACGATGTAGTAAATAAAAGAACTAAAATTTCACTTACATGGAACACTGTCATCCTAAATGGTGGGCATCCGATTTCGGAATAGAGTATCTGCCTTATTGCCTATTTACCACCAATCTGGATAACATTATGACATGAAGCACTCAACTCATTAATGGAATTACGAATTTGTCATCATGAATGAGTTGAATCTATTCATGTCATTGATCCCAGCCAAAGAAATCTTCTAAAGAAATGAACTTTAAACATTCAAGCCAGTCTCAGATATACCTACACAGTAGGTTGAATGGACAAAACAACTACTCCTCTGATTAATACCACGACAGGCGTCAGTGCAGGAAACTTCACAGAAAATTTCCTGCATATGCAATAGGCAATACAACTGAAAGAGTCGACCTTCAATTTTGGAACGGGCACACTTGCAGACCGGTTTCGGGCTCTTTAGCCACTCGTCAGTGCAAATTTTGGATATGCAGTTAGTTAGTACCTCGTCCAGTAGATGGAGTGACATTTTGTTGTTCGCTCCAACTTAGGAAGCGGAATCAAATAGTCTGAAAGATTTTCGATTTTCAAATATGGAATATAATTGACTTCAGGTCGATGATGGCCACTATCTTGCTCTGACGAGTGGCTAATGAGCCCGAAACCGATCTGTGTGCCCGTTACAAAATTGAAGGTCGACTCTTTCAGTTGCATTGCCAATTGCATATGCAGGAAATTTTCTGTGGAGATTTCTGCACTGACTCCTGTCGTATGTAATCCAACGCCCTTCATGGTATTAGCCGGGGGAGTAGTTGTTTTTTAATAGCCGTCAGTCCATTCAACCTACAGTGTAGGTATATCTGAGACTGGCTTGAACGTTTGAAGTTCATTTCTTTAGATTTGGTCGCTCCCAGTCTATAAGCATAGCCCACTGACTAATAACAACCATAGAAATCTTGTCATCGATGACATGGGTAGATTCAACTCGTTCGTGACATAAAGTCGTAATTTTGTGAATCTGATATCTGATTCAATTACATGAGGAATGTTTGGGTTATAAACTGAATAGGAAATTCAATGTTCATATAGAAATAGCTGTTTCTAAAGTATTTCTTTTCATGTAATCCGATGTTTATATGAAAGTAGTTGTTTCAAAAAGGGATTTTTTTTTAGTTTATGTCTGAAATACACTTCTTTGCATGACCTACCCATCTTTGTGAAGAGTTATTTTCAAATTAATGGCTTTCTTTCCTTTTTTTTTGAAGATTCTCACAATTTTTCTCATAACGATGAAAAAGTAGAAAGCCAAAACCTTACTTTCTCAAAAAACTGATCTTTTCTGGAAAAATACCCTTTCCAATTTTCATCTCACCATACTTTGAACGATTTCGAGCGAAACTCGTCAAAAATTTGATTACAGGCTTTTTCATTCTTGACTCGTTGTACGTTAGTGTAGATCTGAAACTGAATTCTAAAGAAGTCAACTTTGATCAATTGAACCAAAATTTAACGCAATTTTTTGTTCCTTCAATAATGCACGATTAATTGATTCACATGATTTTGTCATAATGATGCATTAGCACAAATAAAGAAGTTGAGACTTTCACCCTGAGAAGTTGTAAAGTAAATATATCGAAACGGATAAAATGAGCCCAGAATATACTACTGAGTATTATTTAATAACACATTTATAATAAATTTAGTGCTGCAAGTAGGTTCATCGGACCAGAACCTGTCATTGGCATCGCTTTAGGCTTTGCCAAACAAAGATTTAACACCTGGATGGCAAGGAGATTTATGGACTTCTGGCAGAATTCTCCAGGATTGGCTCACTCCAAGACGTTTATTCACTCTTCGAAGCTTGATACAAAACAGTCTACTACGAAGTCTAACACGCCTTCTTAAAGGTCACTGTCATTTGAATCATCATATGCAGAGACTCGGACTGTCGGAAGACAGTGTGTTTCGCCTCTGTTTGAAAAATGATGAATCATCACAGCACATACTTTGTGCCTGTTCCGCTGAGGACGTAATCTGGTTTTTAGAGTTTGGCAGAGCCGTACTCTTATCATCTGACCTGAAAGACCACTGACCATACAAACTATCTAAATCTGTAGAGTAGGGAGGGTGAGGGTAAGCCCACGCACTTAGGCCACATGTGACCCATTGTACATTCTCCCGAGGAGTTGTCCTCCTAGGTCATCGTCCATCCTGTCCTTTCCAGGAAGGTGGACAGGTCGCTGGGAGACATCTCCTTTATATCGGCAGGTGTAGGCCAAGACTCGCCGAACACACACTCTCTCATTGACGAAAACTCCGGGCACTCGCACAGGACATGCCTGACAGTCTCATATTCCTGTTCACAAATCCTGCATAGAGGTGTATCTACTAGCCCCATATTATGGAGGTGTTTCCTTAGTTGACAGTGGCCAGTCAGAAATCCTACTGTGAGGCGTAGATTTTTCCTGGTCATCGCCAGATATTTTTTCGGCGCCAGCATCCCAGGGTCGCCCAAGGTGATCCTGGCAAGATTACATCCTTTGATTCCATCCCATCTCTTCAAGGATTGAGCATGAGTGTAACATTTGGCTAGTTCCGTAATTGTCGAAGTCATCAGGCCGTGGGTGCCAGTGGGTCCTAAAATTCTTAGTCCAGCCACTTCCTTGGCTGGAGAGTCGACAATGCGATTGCCTTTACTCTTATCGTGCCCTTTAACCCACCTCAGGATAATGTTATTATCCACCGAAGCTTTGGTTAAATCTTGGTGGCACTCTAGTACTAGCCCTGAGGTAACACGCTGTCTGTTCAAGGCTAATAGTGCTTGTCTGCTATCAGTGCAGATTGTTATGTGTTTGCCAGATATTCATTTCTTGGTTATTTCTTTTGTGGCGATTGAGATACCAGCCAGTTCTGTTTGGACCACGCCGGTATTTCTTCCCATTTCCCATTTAATCCTAAGGCTTAGTGACCTGGAGTACACTCCACATCCTGAGCCTTCTTTGGTTTTTGAGCCATCTGTATAAATCCGTATTGCATTTGTAGCATCTGACTCTGTGTTCTGCTTAATTTGTATTTTGTAAGGTTTATTAAACACAAACTTGGGTTCAATTCCATCACTTGTTGCCTGCAGCAGAGGTTGCGCAGTGAGCGCTTTCCGCCATAGGCCCAGCCTCAATTGACCCATTCCTACTTCGAGGTTTACAGCAGACGTGCGCAATCGTATCATGGTCATTAACGCAACTTCCTCAACGTACAGATCCAGAGGGTTCAGACCCGTGATCAATTCCATTGCCGCAGTTGATGTTATTCTCATGGCTCCTGTGATGTTTTAACAAGCCAGTCGCTGTATTTGATAATATAATCTTTGGATGGCCGTTGCTTGTAGAACTTTCGGTCCCTATGCAATGACTCCATACGTTAACATAGGTCTCATTATTGCAGTGTAGATCCAGGTGACCACACGGGATGAAAGACCCCATGCGCGTCCCGGTATCCTCTGACATTGCTCATAAGCCACGTATGCTCTTTTTGCTCTACTCTGTAGATGAGAGTTCCATGTTAGCTTCTTGTCGAGGATAGTACCAAGGTATTTCACCTCTTCAGAGAAGTTTAGTTTGCTTTCGAAAATTTCGGGAGATTTTAAGTCCGTTAAACTTCTTTTCCTGGTGAAAAGGACCATCTCAGTCTTCTTGGGATTGATCGACAGTGAGTGTTCCTTACACCATGTTTCTATCAATTTGAGCCCATCCTGCGCTCTATCGCACAGTGTGTTTACAAATTTGCCGGTCTGCAAGATAACTATGTCATCTGCGTATGCAATTGTGTAGAATCCATTTTTGTTAAGGTGATTAATTAGGGTATCCAGAACTATGTTCCAGAGAAGGGGTGATAAGACCCCTCCCTGTGGACATCCCCTCATGACCAGTCCTTTCACTGTCATGTCTTCTACATCAATACTCATTGCTCTGCTAGAGAGCATCTGGAGTATACATTCTCCTACTACCAGGGGTATATTCCTGGAGTGTAGTTGATGGGTAATTGTTGGAAAGGTGGTTCGGCATAGGCCTACTCTTACTATATGACCGGAAAAGCCACTCACCATACAAACTAACCGGCTTCGTTAAGAAGCTGGGTTTATTTGGTGGTGTGTCATATAATAATAATAATCTTCATTTTCTAGTAGACATATACATGTATAGGAATCGTCAAATTTCACACATAAAATCATGAGCACACGCACTATAAATGTACATATATGTGTATATAAATTAATACATATAAATTATTAATAAAATAAGGATACATACACAAGATCATAAGTAACAACAGATCATAAGTAAAAAAGTATCAATCGTAAAAATACATTTTCAATCGTCATAGCCAAATTATAAAAACATTCTTGAATTTGAAATCTTTTCAGCTCTCTACTGAATTCATCAACGGTGCGTGCCGCCTTCATGTATTTTGGCAGCTTATTAAAAATTATTTTCCCCATCACAGACGGCGAGTCTGATGAAATTTTGTACTTGCGGTACGGAATATGAAAATTTGATTTTTACCTCGTATTCACATTATGGACATTTGAATTCAGTAAAAACTTATCTTTATTCTTAAAAGTATATAAAGATAATTCAAAAATATAAAGACTTGCAAGAGTCATAACCCTGAACTGCCTGAATGAACTCCTACAAGAAAAAGTGCTGTTAACTCCAGCCAGTTACCCCACATGCATATGCCATATCTCAGCCTGGATGTAACCTGTGAGTGATATAAAGAAAGTAGTTGTTGTTTCGTCAAGAAATTCCCTATATTTCTCAATAGATAACACAAGGAATTTAATTAGGAGTTCACAGTGTTTCCTCCAATTCAGGCACGAATCGATAGTGACACCTGAAAATTTTATTTCTTCTGAATTTTCGAGTATTAGGTTGCCTATTCTGATTCGCATATCAGGTCATTGTTTTTGGCGATTGTGGAATCTTATCAATTGCGTTTTATCGGCGTTGAGAAAAAAAGAATTCATTCCACACCAATTGGTAATTTTCTGTACCACATTTTTACATTTGTCATTTGTGTTAATAGGTGTGAGCCACAATAAACCCTTGTGGGTTGCGGTGGAGGGTCGAATAGACCCACTCACTTTGAACTTAACCGAACCTAACCTTACCTATAAAAAATTTATTGTTTTGTCAAAAGCTGGTCACGAACATTGCTAACAAAAAAAAAGTTGCATACTCTAGCAAGTTTAGTGAACATATTGTTCCACAAGTAAAACTATAAATTGAAAAATGTGTTTGAATCAGCCGATACTTGAGTATAGACACGCCTAAAGGCACGCGAAAAACTTTTTGCTTTTTTGTAAAAATGTTTTCTGAAAATCTTACAATGAAGAGTCTATTGATACTATGAATTATATATGAACAATATTGAATTCACATCGATGATGACAATATTCAATGAGGAAGTACAATTATCCTTTTGTAATGAATTCGGATTTTTGAGCCAAATATATTAGTTTTCCCGTTTGAATGTATTCAAACAAACTCACCGATAGATGGTCTAAAAATTCCTATCGGCAGGCCACCTCCTGTATCTTTGATCAGCGACTCTGCTAATGATTTGGTGAAAGTATACGTATTCGGATGATTCTCAAGTATTCTGAAACAAATATGTATTCTATTGGATTGTGTTAAGAGTTGGATTTTTTGAGAGTATAATTACATTACCATATCTACTTTGAATAGCATTATTCTGGATTAATTATAACTCTTCAAATATTTTTTTATTTTCTTTCGAAAGTGTTTGAATTCATCAGCATTGATAAATATAAATTAACTCAAAGAAAATGACGCCATGCATTGAATGTTATGATGTTGAATATTGTAAAAAGCGTTACTAAGATGACAAACATAGACTAATTATTGCTCACCTTGAAGTCAATACAACATCTTCTTCATCACCCATTTTTTCTATCAAAGTTTCCACATAATCATATCGAATCGAGTTGTATACTTTCTCTTCTATCTCATCATAAGGACAGTTTGCATATGCAGTGGATACGTAGATGAGAGACTGAAATAATGTACATTTATGATTTGTGATGAAAATTAGTATTCAAGTAACACTAACACTAAGTAACACTACACATTATTTTCTTTTCGCATGTTTTGCTATACAATAACTTCTTCAGGTATATCTATAATATACTGTAACGAATCTGAAGCCGGCCGTGACCGATATCTCAGCCAGCAAACACATGACTCATCGCGAACAGCCGCGAAAAGAATAGCCGAGTACTTACAGAGACCTCTAGATAAATCTAGAACGATCGTTACCAGTATATAAGCCTTGCTTCCCGTCCATAGAGGATGCCCAAAAAGGGTTACCACCCCCGAAAACCCCAAGGAGGTGGCTCCCATCAAAATCCAAAACCCCCAAACAATCACCCCAGTCACACAACAGATAGAGGCAATCATCAAAATACAGACAACCTTACTACTCAACCTCATGCCTGCCATGAGAACAGAAATTTTGTCCCTCACCAACGAACTATGTGAGATAGTTCTTGGTCATTCCCTCTTCGCCACAGCCAGTGGCAACCGAGTGGACTACACGTTCACCAATCTGATATCCGAGCTTAATGGCTGAAGGATCAAATTCACGGGATAACGGGCGTTTCATCCTCGGCACTGTAAACGCCCAGGGCCTCAACTGAAAAAGATATCACACAAAAACACTACTCCATATCCACAAAATTCATATCCTATGTATTACCGATACCTTTACCAAAAATCCTCCCAACTTCTCCGGTTTTAATACAACCCACCGTCCTAAAGACCCTCACTCTCGTGGCATCGCTATACTAACAAAACGTGGACTTCCCCATAAACTACACTCCCTTCCTCCTAACCTATCCGAACTCGACTGCCTAGCGATAGATCTTCTATCAAACACCGGCAACATAACTATCATAGCCCATTACAATCATCCAACACAAACTCTTTCCAGAGACCTAATTGAATATGTATCTTCTCTCCCTAAAGCATTCCTAATAGGCGATTTCAACTCTCGTCACACCCAATTCAGAGATTCCAACTCCAATGCCAACGGCCGACTACTAGCCAACCTACTTTTAGAATACAACCTTTATAGAATTCCCTGCCCCGACCCGACGTTTCTGAGTCACCGGGGGGCCTCTATCATCGACCACATCTTGTGCTCTGAGAGCCTGATAGAGACGGTCGATGAACAGGCCTATATCGGAGACACTATCACGTCGGATCACCTCCCCCTGATAATCAAAACTTCCTTAAACTTCCCTACTCCTTCCACTCCTGAAACCATTACCTACAAAAACCATAGATACACAGACGTCAAACAATTCCAACTTCTCGTTACCCAAAAATTATCTACTCTTGACAATCCTCCACTAAACCACTCCAAACAAATTGACTCCCAAATCGAATCAATTCAAAAGATTATCACAGAGTCCGACGACTTATCCACTCCTACGACCACCCGACGAATAGATCAATCTCCACTTCCCCCTTTCCTCATTAACCTCATCAAAAACAAACGCAAACTATATAGAACTTTTGTCCGTACCAGGGATCCTGTCCTCAAAACCGAGTGGAACCGTCTTAACGCTCGTATACGCCTCCTCATCAACCAATTCACCCAGAAAAGGTGGATAGAGGAGACCAAAAAACTAGATTACCGGGATGGAATGGCTTTCTGGAACAAATTCAAAGTCCTGACAGGACAAAAACGGAAAACCGACAGTCACCTGGTGATTGACGGTAACATCATTTCCACCCCTCCCGACAAAGCCGAAGTCTTCCGTGAAAATCTCGAAAAAACCTTCCGTCTTCCTATAGACCCACAATTCGATAACCATTTTCTTAACTTCATTCACCAACAGGTGCCGGCGCAGTTGGGCAGGCACCCAGGTCAAATCCCCCTCGACGCCAACTGTCCCTTAAGATCCCCATTCAGCGAGGAAGACATCCTCAACTATATCCACAGTGGTAGAAATACCGCTCCTGGACCAGACTCGGTTAACCGCCGGGTTCTGAAAAACCTCCCCGCCTCAGCAATCCCATTCATCAAACACATACTAGATGCGTGTCTCGCACACGCCTACTTTCCAAACGCCTGGAAACAGGCTAACACAATTCTAATCCCTAAACCCCACAAGGATCCTACTAACCCCGACTCCTACAGACCCATCAGCTTGCTTAGCTGCCTTGGAAAACTGCTGGAATGATTGATCACTAACCATTTGAACGACTTCCTCACACTCCACAACATTATTCCTCCCTACCAACATGGTTTCAGGACCGAACATTCTACCCAGAACGCACTAGTCGAACTTCACACCCACATATCCCAAAATATCAACGCTTCTTTTTGCACCATTGCAATCTCCCTAGACATCCAAAAGGCTTTCGACAAGGTCTGGCACGCGGGCCTGATCTGGAAGCTTATTCAAATCAATCTGCCTCATCACTTCATCCGACTAGTTGCATCCTACTTATCCAACCGACTTATCCGCGTCAAAGTCGGTGAAGCTTTATCCACCCCTTTCTCCCCTAAAGCCGGAGTCCCCCAGGGATCAGTCCTCGCCCCTTCCCTATTCCTCATCTATGCACATGATGTTCCCATAACCCACAAAATCCTCCAATACGCCGACGACACCATTCTATACCGCCCCCAACACCCGCCGCTTGCAAATTCAAGCCCAAAATATGATCGACCATTTCGAGCAGTGGTGCAACAAATGGCGTATCAAAATCAACCCCACAAAAATCCAAACAATCCTCTTCCGACACCCTAACACTTCTACCCGTCCCAAACTAAACCCGGACAACTTGAATCTCAGACTTTTGGGGGAAAACCTCATACTCCAGGACTCGGTTTCCTACTTGGTGGTCACCTTCACGAGGACCCTCAATTGGGAAATCGACCTGAGAGAGACACTGGACAAAGTCCGGAAGAGAGCTTACCTTCTAAAAGCTCTGAGAGGAAAACTTGGGGGATGCGACAGTAGAACTCTGCTTCATACCTATAATACCTATGTAAGACCAGTCCTCGACTACAAAGCAATGATATACTGTACGCTCCCTCCGAGACTGTCCCACCGTATCCTTGCGACTGAACGACGAATACTACGCAACATACACAACCTGCACTACCGATACCCTTCCCTACACTTATATAACCTCATAAATACTACACCAATCGAGCAAAGATTTCAGGAACTCCGAGGACGATATGCGACCAGGACGATGAGCAGCAACAACACCGATGCCATCGATACGCTCACATCGCCATGGATCCCCCGTGGAGGATCCCGAAGGAAACCTAGGAAAAAGCTCCCCTTTCTCCCAGCCAGACTCCTGGGAGCGATGGAAGACCCACCGGAGCCGATCCAGGACATCCTAGAGGATTTCTCACTGGGATACAGATAGCGGACACCTGACAGCAGCGCCCCGGAAAGTACCGAAATCCTAAACACACAAAACCCCGGCCCAAAACCCCGTACCAAGTCACATCAGGACCACCGACCACCGCAATGAACCCGGACTATCACATGGAACAGCATAAAAACCAACTAAGAAAACTGGAACACCAAAACAACACAACACAAACTCCAACATAAAACACAAAACACACACATAACTCACTCACCCTGAAGAGGCATAAGCCTATAGCAGGGCCCTACACAAACACATACACACAAAAAATTGTAACAACTGTAAATAATTTGTAAATATACGATATTCATTCATTCATTCCATAGAGGGAGGCTCTATTTAGAAAGCGAATCGAGCGGTTAACAAACAGAGAGATATTAGTTAGAGAAATTAGTCAGTTGCTGGATGGTGTATATAAATTAGTTGTGATAGTGAAGTATTGTTAAAAATAAATTTGTTCAAGACAGTTAATTCTTTAATTCGTTACAATACATATTCAAACTTATTTAAATGAACATGAAAAGAATGAAATGACCCGAGAGTTTATGTATCAGTTAATTACCAGTTTCTACATTTGAAGAAATATTCAGTAGCTAGGAGTTATTTATTTCTATTGGATCATTCAATAAAGGACCCGAATTCTTGAATCTATTTATTTCTATGTGTGGTAAAATCTCATATAAAAGTATTTCTTGAATTCAAAAGTTTAGTTTCGTGTACCAATCTCAACAATTTCCGAAGCATTTTGAGCAACACTAGATTTTTCTGGTCTACAAAATCGGGTATGTATGTTTAACCGATATACTATTTATTATAGACCCCACAGCTCATTTCATACTTTCTGACTTTTCGTTCGTCAACATTTTGTCATTAGGGTTACCCAACATTTGTTGAATCGAAAAGCAGTTTTGAAGGTCAATTCAACGTTCAACGTTTCAATATATAATTAATTATAATTCATTAGTGTATTTTGGTCGAGGAGAAATTACGATGGACTTTGAATTAGTACCTTTCTGAAAGGTAGAAGATTTACCGAAAATTTTTGCTAAATTCAAGGATACCTCTTGCTTTCTATTATGTCTCTGTTGTTTTTTCAATATCGTATATCCATTGAGACAAGGGAAACGAAACAAGCCTATGCGTAGGAAAGTTTTTTTTTTTTGTGGAAAATAGTGTGAGCGATCAGTAATATACCTAAAAGTACTGTTATCATTCCTATTATGTTTTGGAAATTAGTGGATGATATTACGAAAATTGCAAATAAAAACTCAAATTCGTTTATTCATATAAATTGTTTCCAATCGACTGCTAACATTCGATTCTTCAACTATATAAAAACATAGATAGCAATACATATAAAAACCATTGGTATTCCTTGCAGAATTGAATGATATGTATATACAGGGTGATTGAATATATTTCGCTAGCAGTATATCACAAATTCTATAGACAATGAATTTCAGAACCTGGTTAGTTCTGATCATGTATGCGGAGAGATTGGAAAAATCCAACCTCACACACAAGTCAATAAAAATATTCTCGAACAGTCAAGCAGCGTTGGAAGCTCTTGGCTCCTACCGAGCAATGAAAAAAGGA